GCTCAGTGCTACAGGTAAACTAAGTACCCAGGCAACACTGCCATAGTTACAGGTCTAATGAAACTATAACAACGTACAATTGCACTGACCCAAGCAAATGGACGCATACACAATGCGGTACGCTCAGTGCTACAGGTAAACTAAGTACCCAGGCAACACTGTCATTTACAGTCCTTAAATACTTGTTAACTGGACATAAATAGTCAGGTTCAAGTATCGAAAAAATATAAAACTTACGAATAAATTATCAACTATCTAGCATTTCAGTTAATCATTACAATCGTGTAAGATTTATTTTTGTTTTAACGACAACTAAATGTCATCGCATGTCCTTCACAGTAGATATCTAAATGGGATTATAGGGCTTCATGGTGAGAAAATCTTTATCGACCAAAGCTCGTCATGATTCACCCAATCCATATTTTGGGTGACACGGGTGGTCTAGTTCGATTCCCGGGCACGTACCTTGTAATTCCATCAAGGACGAACTAGTTTAATGAGCTGACTAAATACTTATGGATGTAATGAAAAATTCTTCTGATAGTCAGTGTTATTATGTTAAGTGGATGTTTCACGCTTTTATGCAATAATGCATCTAGAGTGAACGCACTAAATTCATTCAACAAATATTACTTAATAATTTTGTTTACAATAAATAGAGAAGCAACATAATCTATCATCGATTTTGCACTTGGTTTTCACGGATCAAAGAAGGCCTTTCATCGCAAAAAGGAGTCATCCTGTACCTTAACTCTACTTCTTGGAGTTGAATCAACTCTCACAGAATAACAGTACAACAGTAATGACGTTAGCATGAACCATCTCTATGAACAGATCCATCCATTTTAATTCTTTTTCGTAGAAAAGTAGCCAATCAGAGCGCGCATTATAAAGTATCTATGTCATAATACTATATTAGCAATGAAGAGTGTTGTGAAAGTTTATGTTTATCTAGTGACTTTCTTTTGTATTAGTTAATTAATCGGGATTCCTGTGTAAAGCCCGTAAACACTTGAGTGGACTGGCAGCGGTCTTATGTTGTTCAGCCGCCATGTTTGTTGTATGCAAAGATTTTTCGCTGATTAAAGCCTTTAAACAAGGTAACTATCTCATCCTTCTCGCTTCAAAGAGAAGGGGAGAAGAAATTCAGTTTCTATTAAAATTTCTTCCGTATCCGGGGAAATTTCTAAACCGCCAATTCTGCTCGACATCCATAATTTAACAACGAAAACCTTGTAATCAGTTCAGCGCATATACACTTACTTTCGTCATTCAGAATCCATACTGTAGTATTAGGACAAAGGATATTCACACGGTTGTCAATTGTGGTAAAAGTCAAACTTAACGTCTCGTTGTTTTCCAAAATCTTGTCGTTCGTGATGTTCAAATGCAATGTTATTTGTTCTTTTGTTTGATATGAATCTGGGCTGAACCTGACCGTCCTGTCCAGTGAGGCGTAATCACTTAGTGATGATGCACTAACGTCTTGTGTCTTTACCCTGTAATCGTACAAATGCAGTATTTGTCAGCTAAAATCCTAATAGTGCAATCAGGCACCACGTAGCCGGGAGGGGCTTCGGGAGGGGGGAAAGGGGGGGCTATTTAACGGCCATTTTGAAAACATTCATACTCGTTTAGTACATCTATCACTTCTCGAAAGATGTCCCGGTTTGGCCCCCCTCCCCCCTCTCCCAATAAAAAATTATGCTCCGCGGTGCCTGTTCAAGAATAGGTACAAGTCCCTTTTAGGGCAAGGGCAGGTTCAAAGTGCAACATAAGCATAAGGCCAAAAACAAAAAATAAAAATAAATAAAAGAATAAGTGAAAAATAATTATGTGCTTTTCTTTATAGCGTAATGCCAGAAATTTGGGTCAAGATGGCTTTCATTTTGTATAAGGAAATGTATCGGCCGAGAATATTTTTCAGTGGAAAAAAAACAAAGCATTATGTTCTCGGTGCGACTAAAAATGGTCAAAGTATATAGTTCAATCTTTGTGGCAGTCATGGCAACAACGACTAGCAATAAACAAGCACATTTTCTTCCTGAGCAGTTTGTTTTATTGATCCAGCTTAAGCCTTCAGATCTCTCCTACATTTTCTCTGAAATCGTCCAATACTATGTACATATCAGTCTGTTTGAGTTTGAGTTAGAAGTATATCCTGTACAGTTTAAACTGTCTAAATTGCCAGAAAAAAAAAACGCTGAATCGCTTATCAATTTTCTTCCTGAGACTTTAAACCACTTTGTTTTTCAGCTTTGACTCGAAAATTATTGAATGAAGAAACACCTTCACGAAAGCCTTCTTGATCCGCCATTTTACTGCATATCAACTCCCAGTGCCTTCTGGGATTGCACGCAGGGATTCCAATCAATTTTTAAGTTCAAATCTTTGGAGTTTTTAAGCTTTCTTACGGTACGAAATTCTAAAAATTAGGTTAACTTTGGCGTTTTTGGACACTACGGGACCCTTTATAGAAAAAAAACGTTGAAATTCTGCTATTCTGAAATATATATCACAATAATAACGCAATTTTACATCGAAAATGAAATATTTTGATCAAATCTTTTGTATTTTACAATAAAAACGTCAATATCTGAACTCAAGAAAACCGCTGGTCAATGACCCAGACTTCTGTCAATGGATACTCAATGTGACGTAAGCCTTTGTTATTCATGTGCCAACCAGAAGACGATTGGCTGTTAGAACAAAGCGACTTGCGAAAAGCCATTCTGATCATGGTTGGCACATTAACATTAAGAATGAGGTTGTTGATAAACATTGAGTATCGCGCTTCCTATTGTTATTATTTTTTTATTACCTTATGTATTTTCTATGCTTATATGCAAGTTCCCCTAAGCAAGTTCCCCAGTTTATACTTTATTGTCTAATTTAGACATTATCTCACCTTATTGAATGGGGATACTCATTAGATCCTGCTCTTGTTAAGCTAAAGACCACTTGTCTTTTGTTTTCAAAGACAGCCAAATATCCACTCAAATTACATGAGATGTTCACTAAACAAAAGTAGGAAAATATGACATTATGGTGTTGTGATATTCCCTCACGGAATACATTATAACATTGTGAAAAATCAGTGGTTTTTTTTAATGGTTGATCCCTTTGTAGACAATTGTTACATGTGCCATAAAAAAAATGATAATTTCTAAAATAACTTGTTCTAATCTAATGTAAAACCTTCATCAATGAATTTTCATTTAAGTTCGCATTAGTTTACGACGCAAGAAGAAGCTTATGCGTTCATCATCAGAAGACGCCATGAAATGCAGGCTTAATTTCTTAAATTTTCAGATTCCTGGAAAATTATACTTTTCCTTGATAATCTGTATTATAATAAACATGTGTCTATTCGCTTTTTGTGGATTGTTTTTGTTTGTTAGCTTTAACTTTGGTTATTTTCAAATTTGTGGAGCGCTTGATGACGTCAAAACCATATTTATCTTATTTGTAAACACTGCTCTTGTCCACTCAGACCACGCGTAGTAACAAATAAATCTGTAAACGTTAGTCTAATTTTTTTTTTGTTCGTAAGTGATGATGGTTTCAAAGAGAGTAACATCCACTTACCATCATTACTGACAATGGTCACAATGGTACTGTTGCATGATGGGAAGACTGTACTTCCGTTTGAGCCAGATAAAGTCACCTGGAAAGATTCACGATCTTCAACAATTTTGTCGTCTTCTAATTTGATCGAAACAATTTTCTCAGTATCGCCGTTGTTAAATGTGATTTGGTTGGTTTTTATGCCTTCAAAATCTTGTCCTTTCGTTGCAGTTTGATCATTTGTGTTGATACTATAAATTGACAATATATATCAATATGTCAGTATTACAAACAACGTCAAGTTGAGTTTTATTTAACAAATAAATAAGGCTCAGCCGTGGTTTATACTCGGATAAACGCACGCTTGGCATTTGAAACACACGAGAAAGTGTCAAGAAGCACGAGCTGAAAGCGTTTATCAGAGTATAAACCACAGGCTGAGCCTTATTTACTTGTTTTATTATATAGATTCTCAGTAAAATCCTTTTTTGACCTCAGTCGTGGTTTATACTCTCATAAACCACACTTTTTGGCCAATCAGAGCGCTCGTTAGAATTCATCTATATAATAAACTTATTTGAAGCATTGGAATATACTTTTTCATGTTTTCATTCTATTTTGATTCACGAGGGATTGTTGGGAGCGCGAGAAATGCTTTAAATCACAACTCTGAATGCTGAGATCTCAAGGACTGAATACGTAGTTGTCAAAATGGTGGGAACTAGCGGTAAACTAGTGTGAGCTGCATCGATGTTTCTATAGAAACAGTTGTGTAAAAAGATAAATTTAACTCCGTAAAAAAGTAGGTGAAGTAACTTACTGACGTTTCTGACGTTAATCCCTCTTTACCCAAATGACGAAGGATTAACGTCCGAAACGTTAGTAAGTTAACTCACCTACTTTTTTACGGTGTTAAATTTATCTTTTTTACACAACTGGTACGCAGTTGTCAGTTTATTCCCACGATAAACAAGCACTTTAAAGGGACACTGTCAATGGATGACATGCGCGAGTAAACTTGAAAACATTAGGTCTAGTGTTTTCAAGTTTACGACTCCAAGTTGGCGCGATGCATGACAAAAAAGTACTCGTAAACGTAAACAGATCTAGAATATTCCAAAGTGTGTCAAAACATTTATTTGCCTCGAAGGTAATACTTTCAAAGTCCGTTAGAGGCAAGACTGTTACTACGCATGTCATCCATTGACAGTGTCCCTTTAAGTCTTACAAAAAACTGAGTGACTGAAATTCCATCAGAAATTGGTTTTGTTTACTTACAGAATCTTCGAACTTTGGGTTGAGATTGCGCCTGTTCTTACGATGGTCAAATTAATATACTTGTCAGTCTCTTCAAATACTGTTAGGAAACTGCCTTTCAAGCAATACGAATCTAGAAGAAGTAGGGAAGAAAGGTACATTAACTCAAAGAAATAAGCTGAAATTTAGTCAGAGAAATGTAAAATACATCAATAACAAGAGGTGAGATTTTTGTTTCCAATTTATTATAATCCCAACAAGAAATTCACAATTCACCGCTTATAATCTACAAAATAACGGTAAAATAAGGAGGGGAGAGGTGGTGTTTACATTAGAACCACTTTAAGTAACAATGCGCTAAAGAACTAGGGAACTCTCTATTGTTCTGCGGCATTGCAACTTCCCCACATACGAATGTCTTGGTTTTCACACTGATTATATATCAACCTATGGGTAACACATTTTTGAAATAAAATGTGGTTAAACTCTATTTTGAAACAAAGTTTCTTTTGTATTAAAAGCTCTTATCCAATCATTAGCACTCAAAACAATAGCCAAAAGATGCGTCTAATTTGCAATGTTCCCCACATAGAATTGCCTTAATATTGAAGCTAAAGAAAGCTTTCATGAAAACGAAAACAGACATTAAATAAAATATTATAAAATGCGCTAACTTGTGAAGTAATAGCAGATTTTCATGTTTTAACCAATGGGATGGATGGATTATACAATGCACAATTAGCACCTTCTTGCATTCCTTTGCCGTTTGCTTCCCTAGTTCTTACTCGGGCCATTACTTAAAGAGCTTATGCTCCCTGTGCACTTACTGTCATCATCTTCCAAGGTTACATTATACTTGGTTGTATCGTTGAAGATTGCTTTATTCGACCCGACACTTGTCATTTCGATATTGAACCTCTTGAACTCTTGCTCTCCCCAGTTGTCATTCGTAATATTTATCGTATGTTCTATCATGTCTATTCCTTTCCCAAAGGTTTTCGTGGCACAGCCACTTATAATTGATGGATAATCACGAGCTTGTCCATTTCCATCGGAAGTCCAGCATAATCTAAAAGGAAAATAAGAATAAGAATACTGGTACTTTCTAGTAGCTGAAATAGCTCCACCAATGGTGAGGTTTAAGTTACTCCTCGTGGTGTAGTAACCTTAAAGAGAGTTAATAATCCAGTTTCGAATTCTCCAATGCTCTGTGTTAGCCTCATTTGCGCGCAAAATATTCCTAATTGTGCTGAATAAAAGTGTTAGATTTCAAATCAATTCCATTGTCTTTCTTTTCAAATTCCATGCGTTTTCTCGGGCTGTCAATGAAAAAAAAGAATATATTGCTTGGTTTTGAGGCTAACACAGAGAAAACCAGAACTCGAAATTGGAGTATTCGACTCTATAACTCGAGTAGAGCCTGACACCCCCTGACAAAAGTAGAATATCAATGAAAATTACTTCCTGTTATGCAGTAAACAAACATGATTTGGTGGAAGGACATAAGACCTTTTGGACCATCAAGACTATTGCCAATGCTTTCGACTATACAAATCGACCGCCAGTGCCACAACATCACTTTTAGAACAATCAAAACTGAACACACGGTGCGGTATTGGCTCTTCCAGGCGCCATTCATATATAAGAGTTGCGCCCGAGAGGGTTGAAGAATACCCTGAATTATACCCTTCTTTCGGAGAAATTAATCTATGATTTGAGCCTGATTCCACTATAAAAGAGCTCGTCCCAAGGGCGGCCCAATATGTGAGAAGACTCAGAATATGTAACGCAGACTCAGTTTTCGAAAAATTTGTTAAATAATGTAGTTAATCTCAGAAGCGAAAAAAAAAACAAATATCAACATACAACAGGAAATGCAGCAAGAAAAACCCCAAAAAACGTACAGTTAATCGAGAATTTCCATTTACTAGGTAAATCAAGCAAAAATGAAACCAAACATATTTTGTCTGTGGAAAAATCGAGACTAATTAGTGTTTTTTACGATTTTAGCGATTTGTTTTGATGAAGAAAGGGAGATTTCTATCCCATGATACATTGCAAACCTACTCAAAATGGCGAGCTTGTGATTTGGACTATGTTAAAATGCTCACGATTCCATGGGTAAAACTCTGAAAAAGCCCAAAAATTGAAGCTTATGACCACAAAAACATCGCTGATCACTGATCAAATATGGTGTACTACAGTGAAATGGATTTAGGAACAATATACACTTAATGACTGTTCCCAAGGGAAACGGTAGTTTTGTTTCCCGAGAATCTCAATGTTTCCCTCGGCGTACCTCGGGAAACATTGAGATTCGAGGGAAACAAAAACTAACCGTTTCCCGAGGGAACAGTCATTAAGTGTTTTGTTATATTGGTAAATTATTCGAATAAAAATAAATCAAAACACATTGCAAGATGATTTCCAATAATACTTTATTATGAATATAATAACTGTGAACGTCGCGACAAAATAGCAAGATGTTGAGCGTTTAGATTACTGCATTGTGCTTGAAAATAAAAATAATATAAATATACAAATGCCAAAAAACTAGCAAAACTTTAGGAATGAAACAGTCAATGAGTTCCTGAATAGAAATTTAACGTGACATTTGTCCAAATTCACCGTTTCTCTCTTGGTTTCTCTGCAGAATTCTATCACTAAGTCGTAGCCACAGCAGTCTTTGTAGCTTTGTTAGTGTTTTCCGAGTCTTTGTTGACAACCATTTCGTCTATTTCTTGACTAAGATTTGAAAATCTTTTTGATGCCGGCTCCATTTTATAAACAGTCGAAAGCAGCAAAAACAATTCCCGCCTTTACAAACTGTTACTCGACGCGAGGCGGCCTTTTCCCGCCAATGGCCAAGCGGTCAACAATCGCCAAACTGTTGACCGATCAGTCAACAGTTGATTTTAGCTCCGTACACGTGACACCGAATCGTCCAATAAGAGAGCGAGAAAACAGTGAAAATAATTTACCAATATAACAATAGAATATGGCGTACTACAGTGAAATGGATTTAGAAACAATAAAATCAAAAGCAAAAATCTCTGAGCTCTCGACTTGCACAAACATATAAAAAAAACAAGAAATGCCGGGGAAGACTTACCGAATCTCATTCTCGAAGTTTTGAGATTTTGGATAACGACACACTTTGATCACATACTGTCCAGCATTTTCTTTCACAGACGTTTGGAGCGGTTTACAGAAGAAGATGTTTGCTAGAAAGGAGATCAAGAACAGCATCAAAAATCATCCTGGCAGCATTAATAAGAGAAGGGTTTGTCGTACGACTTCCACATAAGGCTAGGATGTACATATATGGGTTCACCGATGTACGTACAGAAGGCCTCTTTTATGTACATATCATGTAGCAAAAATGTAGAAAATTTTCAAAGACTTTAACTTAAACTGAAAAGAAGATTTTCAAGGAAGAGCAAGGATTCGAATCAGCGCTATGCATTGCCGTCCTTCTAATCGGATTGCTTGTTGTGTAGACTATTTTTGCAGAGTAGTTTGCAGTCTAAATCAAATGACAGATTCGATTTCTAAAATAATTAAAGTCTGTCCAACTGAACAAAATCTACCTATAAGTCTATAAATTCAAAGTGCGAAATTCTCAGAAACATACGTCTCTTTCTTTTTTATAACTTTTTTGAGCTAAATATAATTTTAAAATATGTTAAAGTATACTTAATATTATAGTCCGTAGTACTAGATAATCATTCTCTCCTTTTTGCCTGCTACCTGTTACATCCGGTGTTCCGCAAGGATCCATCTTGGGTCCTCTGCTATTTCTTGTATATGCAAACRACATGCCAAATTACGTTGGGAATGGTTCAACTATCGCGCTCTACGCTGATGATTCCAAACTATATCATCCCATCGTAAATCCTACATCACACCTCCGTTTACAGGCAGACATAGACGGCTTACATAAGTGGAGTATAGACTTTGGAATGGAATTTAGTTCCTCTAAATGCAAAGTTCTACAAATGTCAAAAAAGAAGAACCCCACTGCACAGTCATACTATCTGGCTGGAAAGGTCCTTGAACCCGCATATCAAACAAAGGATCTACAATCGTTGCCAAAATACCTTGGACCCTACAATTATTTGCCTTCAGCCTAACATTTTTCTCCTTTATTTTTTGACAGTTTTCCCCCGTAGCCCCCTTTCATCAATGTTGGGTCTTGTTTTGGATGCTTGTGTACTATGGTAACATGATCATTGACAACATTGCATTTAGGGGGTCAGGGGGGATGAAATTGTCTGCGGGTGTTGCTTAAAATGAGGAAATTCGCTGGAATGGTCCAAGGTTTTTGTCAACGATTGTAGGATTATCCTTGCTAGTTAGTATCCTGTCCCTACATACTTAGGATCCTATTTAGGACACCATTCCTAAATAAGATCCTAGAGGATCTTACAGGATCCTGTCTAGGATTTGCACCAGGGTAACTGCTACTTGGGAATGATCTACTTTTGACCTCTTCATTAATCTTATTTTGTTTGATTTATTGATCTATTTTGACTTGCAGAAAGTAAACTGGGCAAACTCAGATGAAAAGACAGCTGAGGAATTCATAGAGTTTCTAATGACACTTGTATCAGCACAGACATTCTATTTAAGGTCTTG